CAGCCAAATCGAAGTAGTAAGCTACTTTTACCAACTCCTGCAATGTAACGCTCATTCGCTTTAAACAACTTAAAGCTAAAACCCTAGATGCTTACCACTATCACCGATGATTAGTAACTTAAATAAATGATCGTAATCTCTCGGGCCATATCCAGCCATGAGACTGCAACAATAAAATGTCTACTAAATCTCCAGAAAAAAAGCATGATTTGAAATAGGAAGGAATCCAACCCATTCGATAAAATCAACACAAGAGCTCTGTTCAAAGAATATTTATCTGTTTTCAAGAGATCTGTAAAAATTCATGACAAAATCAACACATTCACGAATTTCACGGATACAAGAGCATATGATAAATGGTAAGAGGTAATAAAACAATCGATAATAAGAAAAACGCCGCCTAGAAACAATTTTAACAATATAAATCAAAGTCAATGCGAGCGACTGGGTTGAAACCAGCGGTTCCGCACTTTCTCGCTAAACCACCACTGGAGAGCTTGCCATTCTGCTGACGTCTAGCCATTTCCGATGAAGTAAATGGGCCCTTAATGATGATAACGTTATTGTAAAACTCTACTGCTGGAAAAAGAAGACTCGCGTAACCGAGACTAACCTGGATCTCAGCTGTGTCGGATTCTTTATACTCCCATTTCTGCTCTTCGTCATCGAAAACGGTGTTTGAAGCTCCAGCTGATGTTGAAGAATTGGTTGCTGAATTACGATAGAAAGGTTTCAAAGGAAAGAAAAAATGGAAAAGGTTGAGAGCTTTGGCAGAGAAAGAGGAATTTGCAAGCTTGAAAAAAACTTGCAACCAACCTGGCTCATCAGAAAACATATCGAGCGAATCGACAGCACTACTTTCCAGCTTTTTTAGTAAAAATTCTATTTTCTCCCGCGTCCACTCATAGACGTCCATCTGAAATAGAATTATTCTAGGAACAGAGAAGAAAATCCGTCAATATAAAAAAATTCTGGGAGCAATGAGTGGAACGTCGTTTTGAACCGCACGTTTTGTCGCGTTCACCTTGTTTTCAAACTACCTTTGAATATTTAACACTTCAAACAGAATTTGTAATAGGGGCGGGCAAAAAGAGTTCTGGAAAAACAGCACAAAAAAACGAGGTGTGTGAAAGGTCGGTAATTATCGCTCTTGGTGAGAATTGAGAAAAGTAAGCAATGCGAAACTCCTAATTTAGCACAATCATGATGAAGAAAGCTCCCTTGCATCGTGAGAAGATTCTGAGTAGACCTCTCATATCAGAAATCCATAGCTAAACTTAAAAACCTTCTAAACCACAACAAAAAAAAGTTGTTTGAAACATTGAAAACATTCGAAATTTTGAAGGCACTACTCATTGGGAAGCGAAATTTGCATGCGAAAAGTTAGCAATAGATTTGAAAAAAAGAAGGCCCAAAAAGGACAGTATGAAACGTATGGAATTGGTTTTAAAGGAAAAATGGGTATAGGATCGAAGAAAGGAGGATAAATGCGGATGGAGAGAAAAGCAATCGCACAAAGCCGAAAAGTAACGATAGTAAAGCAAATTTCAATAGCATTTCGAGAAACCGCACCTTAGAGTTGCTTGCATGACGAACCTTCCCTTTAAAACGCGAAAGCGAGATAAGGATAGGAGGCGGAATAAAATAAAAAACGGTGCTAACTTAGTTGGGGGGGGCACGCGGCGGCGCGGCAGTCTGCTCGCCTGGCATGTTCGGAAATCCGTGGGCCAGGGGGAGTGTAGGCAGTCTAGGGGGTGGGGGTGGGGGCAGTCACTTGACATGCGTGAAAAGCTGGAATGTTCGAGTTTACACTGTCTCGCTCGAGAGAGCCCAGGTGAGCAGACTGCCGCGCCGCCGCGTGGCCCCCCCCCAACTAAGTTAGCACCCAAAAAGTAACGCGAAGCCGCGTTCTCAGCACAACTCACGCGCCGTAGAAATAAGAATGAGACTCACATGTCCAGCTGAGATTAATTCGTCCGCCAGTCCACTGATTAGCCGTGTGTCCTTCTGCGAATCCGACTCCGCTATCGTCTTACCTTCCTTCTTTGCTTTCCATCGTAATTTACGTTCTTCTGCTGCTGTTAAACCTTAACGAGGCAGCATTAAAACTGAAAAGGCGAACTGGACATGGCGACGTCAAACAGGACTAGAACAACGGAGATTTGAGAAGTTTTCAAAGCACTGACCCCCTTTACTCCCCCATTTTTCGAAGAAGATCCACCTTAAATTTTTCGAACACTGCCTTTGTTAGTGAATTTGCCAGAACAGTTGCTTCCTGCCATATTCGAATCGCGGAAACCACGAATATGGCACAAATCTAGCGCGTAGGCGTCTCCCGCTCGCATCACAGGCCAGAGCTTGAAGGCTCCAAAACGCGTCAAATCATCGGTTAACAAACAAATTGCGTCAACAATTAAAGAATTAATTCCAAGTGGTAACATGACCCAGTAACCACAAATGTCATATCCGCATGTCAATCGTGTCATATTCGTATTTCAACGGGCCGTAGCGCGCCGCTATAGACGTCGCACAACCTACATTAACGTTTAACGCCGGCATTTCTTAACGCTCGGCATTTGAGAGGAACTTCGCTTTGGCAGCCGAATGATCGTGATATTCTTACGTACAGCCCATTTCCTCGCGAAGAACAAAATCTAAGCCGCTCCACCTCCAACAACCTTGGGGAAAACCCATATCTTCGAAAGGGTGGAGCAGTCAAGTTAGGTCAATTCCTTTTCAAAAATTAAACTTATTAATGTGATTGTAAAAAATTAAAAGAAGTATCAATGCAAACCTTTGGCCTTTTTCAATTCCGTCAACGCTTTAGCTATGGTCTGATTAGGCTTTACGATGTCTATTAATGCAGAAAAGATTTCTTTTCGACGAATATCGTTCAGTGCTGGTACGGGTGGTTCGTCATCATCTTGATCCTGAATTTAATCACATCTCAGGAAGCACACAACAATAATGACGTGAACCACATACATTCGACTGTTCCCATTGATCACCAGCCTTTTCTTTGACCTTTGGACCAATCGATTTCATCCAACCAATTATCCTTGATTTCCTATAAAATCTAACATCACAAAAAACCTACTAGAATTGTGTAACCTGGCCAAAATGCAGGAATGAATCACATTCATACAAAACGATCGTTGTGTTTACCTTTTCCTTTTTGTTGAAAGATGAAATTTCCTGTGTCATCAAAGTGACCATCTTCCAAATCTTCTTTCATGTTGAACGCCGTTATTTTTGTTGATCCATCAAAATCCAAGGTTGAGTCTTCTTGGCCTTCGACCTAACAGTGAATGCCGCTCAAATTGTATACAACCAGGAATAAAAACATTCCCACATGTTCGTAGAACTATCACCTACAAACCTTTCGCATATCGAGCTTCTTGTGATCATCGTCCTCTTCTTCGTCACTGTCTAATGTATGCTTCTTTTTCTTCTCTTCCTTCTTCCTCCTTAACAATGAAAATTCAAAAAGGCACAAGAGGAATACAAGAAAAACGCTATTTTCCAAGAATATTCAGAAAGGAAAAAATGAAAGGTAAATTAATATGTAGAGATTTTTCTTGTAGATGGATCAACCAATCTTTTCCAGATTTCGAAATCCTGTTCTATCCGAGGCCTAGCGATATTTTGAATGGAACTAAAATGTGCAGCTCATCAAAAATATATTACAAAAGGCTTGTTCTACACCTACAAGTTGCCCTCAATGTATAAGTCGGTGTTTTTATTGTCCCAGGCCAATCTACGACCTAAGAAACAAGCCCAGGATAGGAATACTGGCTTATCTGACATGCGCGGAACTACGCTGCGATTTGAACCTAAACCACGCGCGTGGTAGCAGAACCACTTGTCAGTGCACCGGTTCAGCTCGGAAGGGAAAGAGAAGCAGTAAAGCAGAAAATCTGAAGATCAGGACAAACCATTCACTTCTTGATCGAGCAAATAAAGCATATTTTAACAGTTTCTAGCGCGAATATGATCTGGATATTCTTAAGTGATTGTCTATGTATATTCATTTTCTTTCAAAAACTTAAATCCAAGAGTAATGTTTGAACGTTGAACATTGGAAGAACCACTTACTGAACAAGGTCGGCAAAAGTCGACGACCTAAGTATAATATGGAAGCGGAGTCGTCGCCCTAAGCGTCGCGTCGTACTTTGTGTTTTTCCGTAAAGTAGAGAAGTACCGTTCACACATGCGCGGTCGATACGTATCTACTACACACTCCGGAACACCGAAGTGAGAAGTATGACACGACTCCTATTTTCGGACATATGAGTGAGAGTTATTACATTGATGCTGGATAAGTTGTGGTGAATACAGGCCCAAAAAGTTGAACAGCAAGGCAATAGTGGAGTGTGTTAACACCGTCTCGAACTAATGTTTGCTGAAGAGTTGAAGCAGTCCCGACGTGAAACGGAGCCTTTTTTGAACAACTGTAAAAAAAGTAGGTGTCACTTTCATTAACAAAAGTTGATCACTGCAAGCATGCAAAATCTGAAAATAACGACTGGACTGCAAAAAGATCCACTGCTACGTGGCGAAGGGAAACTAATTATGAGAGGATGCTTGCTGGCATTTCGCCATGGCCAACACTTGCCAACTTAGGAGGGAATCAATACAAGAAAACGAAATCCAGTGAAAAAAGAAGAAGTTGGGGATTTCGTGAATTGCTCAACGCAATCGCATAAGGCCAAACAGAATACAATATTAGCATTCAAAATGCGTGGAAAAGGCGTCAGTGTCGGGGATTAAGCTCTAATGAGCCGAACTAAATGCACCAGACGATTGTAGCTCACTACTGAGCTCAGAGCAAAGAAAATCCTCTACTAAACGGTACAAGGCGTAAAAGCGTACGAGAGCGCGGGAGCAGGAGGAAAGTATAGGAAAAGATAACTAAGCACATCATACAGCATGACTTCAGTGGTAAATCTTCGACCCCAGAAACAAAGCCTAACTAACCAACAACTTCACCCATCGAGATAGACTGACGATTCCAATTCTACATATATGCCACCCATGCAAGTTCAAAGCCTTTTGAAATTGTCTTATCGTTAGAAAAATATCGAGAGCTATCTTCTTTTGCATATTCACCCAGAAAAGGCTCCGGGCAATCACGCGACCATTGCCAGCATTATCCTCTTTTCGATTTTTTTTTCAACCAGACGAGTGTTTCTCATTCAGCAACCCAAGAACTTAGGCCGTATATGATTCCCTTAGGGGTAACGGTGCACCGTAACGTTACTGAAACTTGGAACAATGGAACTGAACAGCCCCGTAGAAATTCCGTAACGTTAAATAAAATGGAAATTAAAGCTATGTAGGAGCACTACGCTCTTCTTCAATTTTTCAAGCGATGTAGAGGGTTCCACAAAGAATTTCAAGAAGCAGGGAAATACTGTGTAGGC